TCTTAAAACAAATTTCTTAATAATTTCGACATCATTTTTAGCATTTTTATGCGATTAACTGGAAATATTCTCTATCTTAACTCAAGTTATGCCCTATCCCTATCATATAAACAGCTATTGATATTTCCCTTTGAAAGTTAATAGACAAAAGTACAATTATATTGGAAGTGTTTGTTATACAAGCCCTTTGGCTTTTATAATCCATCTCACATTAATTATATTCTAGGAAAGCTTCATTATTTTGGTACCATTGGTTTATATGGCCTGGTTTACTTAAAATGGGAACATTATTTTGTATTTAATTAAATAATATGTACTATTCTATGTCATAATCTGTTATAATAATATTTCGGTCGAAAATTCCCAAAAAATATCTTTCATTTCGATCATTTGTATATGCCATTCTAAACACTTTTGCCCAGAGAACGCATTTTAATGATGTGAAGTAAAGCTGTAATAATGCAGATCTTATAATCACTGAAATGTTTTTCATGAATCCGATTTATGCTTCATTTAGAATTTGTCTCTAAAGGCAATAGTCATTTGCAATTTAGTAAGCTTATTAAGCTTCCAATTTGTGTTCAGGTGAACTGGGAAATTTGTCAAGTTTGTTCCTATGAGACATTTTTTCCTGCATCAAATTCGGTCACACGGCTTGAGGTGTGTTTATAGAGTTTTGAGGAAATTTTTTCACCTGGGAAAATGGGAATTTGTGAATATAGGCGCAATGCTTTGAGAAAAAATCCTCCATCTCACCGGTATAAATTTCAGTCCGCCGGCTTACTGGGAAACTTCTTGCTTGCTTAATATAGCGTAATTTGAGATCCTTTATGTCTACTAATCTTATTGTGAACAACAATAAATGCGCATTGTATACATATGCAGTAACCCCTCCCCATTTTATTTATCAACCAATATTACAGTATTCTTTCTTTTATTCTTTCCTAAAAAATTCTCTCTTAATAAACACCATTTATCGTGTTGTGTTGGATTTTTCCTTCTGTATTCCGCTCTCATTTTAACTTGGCTCCACTTTTGATCAATTCATGCTCTATCCTTTTGTGTTTCCTCTTTTCCGTCTCAATCGTCTAAACAATTTCTCGTTCCAGGAGGAGGATCGCGACACCATGCGTGAGATGCAACGTGACTTGGAGGCCGCCAACAAGACGTGCCGGATTCTGCAGTTTAAATTGCGAAAAGCCGAACGTCGATTTGAACAGTGCGAGGCGGAGAGAGCCACTTTGGAGGAAAGAACAGCACGTCTCGAAGCTGATCTCTACAGCGAGGCAGACATGTCGCACATCCGCAGTCTTGAGGTAGGCTTTTCGTCGATTCTTTTTCGGCATCGCCAACCTTGTGATTGAAGTTCGTGTCTGCAGTCTTATGTTGGGAAATCTTGGCCATTAATTTGTGTTTTCATGCGAAACATTTGTTCTTATGGTTATTTTGAAACCAAAAAGTCCAGTAAGTGCATACCATAGATTGATTTATGACAGACAATATAAAATTGGCGAGTTATAGTACAGCAGACTAGTTTATGGTATGTAGTTGGTCAGGGTGAGAGAGCATTAGCAATGTATCACAAGAAATATCACGTCCATTAGATGATGGGTAACAGCCCATTTAGTTGTCTATCAAAAAAACTATTTTTCGTTTATCAAAAACCTATTTGCCTGAAACCGGAAGAATCATGGCACCAGACAAAGGTCATTTGCTCAATCCTAGCATCATTTAGCAATATGTAGTCTGGTCTTTTATATAAACACAAACAAGTATGCCATCTTGTACGAAAGTTTACTATCCAAATTTAGCCCCAGCTGGCCAAAGAGGATG